CGCCACATCGCCCTCTCCATAAGGCGCGCCCAGAACGCCGGCGAAGATCGCGGGCGAGGTCAGGAAGGGCTCGCCCGCCGCAAAGCTCTGGCCGTCTATCTCCACCGTCACATCCACAAAGGCCTCTGAGGACAGGCCGCCGGGCATGAGGGTGACGGTCATGTCTGGAAAGTCTGGCCCCGCTTCGGTTTCAGGCGCGGTGGAGGGCGGGTTCTGCAGGGCGTCTGCGCAACCGGCGAGGAGCGCCAGGCTCGTCGCCGCCACGCCAAGCGCCCCCAGACGCGTCTGTGTCACATTAGCCATTCAACGTCTCCTCATTCGTCTTGTCCGCCCCGGTGGGACGTTTGCGCCAGTCTATCGAGCAGTGTGCGGAAGGATTTGCCGAATCGTCCGGGTCGAGCGGCTTTTTTATGCCGATGCGAGGGCTGAAGTCCGGGCGGACGCCCCTCTCTATGCGGGCCAGGCGCAGCCATCTGAATGGCGAAACTCTTCCCGAATTCAGCGTGTGGCGCATTCATTATGCGCTCACGGCATCTGCCGGGCTTGAATTGGCATGAATTAGGGGAGGAAGCTGGCCTATCCTGTGGGACATCAGCGAGCAGCGCCAAAGACCAGGCCGGGGAGATCACCATGAACGCAGCACACAAGGGTGTCCGTCTGACGCGTCGCGCCTGCCTGGTCGGGGCGGGCGCTGCGCCTTTGGCGGCCAGCGCCGCCGGCAAGGCCGCGGCAAAGACCCTGAAGAACACCGGCGCGCTGCCTGATCATGACGAGTTCGGGGACATTCAGGGCGTCTATCTCAATTCCGGCTCGGTCCATCCCTTCAGCCGCGGCGCCCGCCGTTCCGTAGAGCGCTTCCTGCAGTCGCGCAGCATGAGCGGGGAGCCCGAAGGCTACAGCATGAACCAGATGCGCGACAGCGTGCTGGCGCGCTATGCGGCGCTGATCAATGCCGAGGTGTCTGAAGTCGCCTATGTGTCCAGCACGTCGGCGGGCGAGGCGCTGGTCGTCAAGGCGCTGGGTCTGCCGCAACGCGGCGGACGCATCGTCACGGACGCCCTGCACTTCTTCGGCTCCTTCCATCTTTATAACGAGTTGAGCGCTGCGGGCATGGATGTGGTCATCATCCGTCCCCGCGAGGATCACCAGATCCATCTTGAGGACATGGCCGCCGCCATGACCAATGACACGGTGCTGGTGGCGGTGTCGGCCATCTCCACCATCAACGGTTTCCAGCATGACCTCGCCGCCGTCGCCGAAATGGCCCATGCCCATGGCGCGAAGGTCTATGTGGACGCGATCCACGCGATCGGGGCGGTTCCCTTTGACGTTCGGGCCAGCAATATCGATTTTGCCGCAGGGTCCAGCTTCAAATGGCTGATGGGCGATATGGGCCTGGGCTTCGCCTATATCCGCCAGGACCTGATCGCTGAGGTTCAGCGCCCCTGGGCGGGCTATCACCAGCTCGCCAGTTTCGCCAGTCATGTCTACCCCTATGACGCGCCGGGCGACGTCGCCTTCGAAACGGGCGCGCGGGAGGACGCGACGGGCCTCTTCGCCATGGGCACCTTCTCAAATACCGGCGTCGCGCATCTGGACTGGTCGCTCGATTACATCAGCCGTCTCGGCGTTGAGACCATTCAGGCGCATCGCCAGCCGCTGATCGAGAAGGCCCGCCGTGAAATGCCGCGACTGGGCTTCGAGCCGCTGACGGCGGAGGACAGCACCGGACCGCTGATCAGCTGGGCGCGTGAAAACGCGCGCGCCGAGCTTTATGAGCGCCTGGCTGCGGCGGGCGTGGAGGTGTCACTGTCGCGTCACCGGCTTCGCATCTCGCCTTCCGTCTTCAACACAGAGGCGGATATCGACCGGGTCCTGGAGGCGCTGTCTTGAGGACTGTGCCCCTGTTTTTCGATGCTCAGACGGTCGCCGAGACGCTTGACTATGCCAGCTGCATGACTGCGCTGCGCCCCGCGATGATTGCGCTCTCCACGGGGGCGGACAATCCTTCGCTGCGCAGTTTCATAGGGTTGGGCGAGGGGCGGACCTTCGCCCTGATGCCGGGCAATCTGGGCGAACTGGGCTTCGGCGCCAAGCTTGTCAGCGTGTTTCAGACCGAGCAAGGCAAGACCCATGAGGGTCTGGTCATCCTGTTTGACGCTGAAACCGGCGCGCCGGTTTGTGTGGCGGATGGCGGCGCAGTCACGCGCATCCGCACTGCGGCCATGAGCGCGCTCGCCACTGATGTCCTGGCAAGACCCGATGCGCGCCGCCTTGCGCTTCTGGGCGCCGGGGCGCAGGCGCGCGCGCATGCCGAGGCGCTGATGAAGGTGCGGCCGTTTGAGGCCATCGTTCTCTGGGCGCGAAACCCGGATCAGGCCCGCGATCAGGCCAGGGCGCTTGAGGCGCAGACCGGCGTCGCGGTTCAAGTCGCAAATACTGCAGAGGCCGCCGTCACGGGGGCGGATGTCATTTGCACCGTCACGGGCGCCCGCGATCCAGTGCTGTCGGGCGACTGGGTGCAACCGGGCGCGCATATCAATCTGGTCGGATCGTCCGGACCGATGGCGGCGGAAACGGACGCCGCCCTATTGCTGAAATCCACCGTGTTTCCCGATCACCGCCCGCATGTGATCGCCCATGGCGGCGAGGTGCTGCGCGCGGTCGAGGCGGGACAGTACGCCACAGATCAGCTGGGACCGGAGATCGGTCAGGTGCTGGCCGGGGACAAACCGGGGCGCCAGTCGGATCAGGAGATCACGGTCTACAAGTCGCTGGGGCACGCCGTTCAGGATCTGAGCGCCGTGGCCTGGATATACAAAACGCATGGGGAGAGCTGAATGAGTAAGGACGATCAGCTGAGGAAAGGCGTTGGCCTCTTCCCGGTCATTGCGCTGGGCCTGGGCACGGCGATTGGCGTGTCGATCTTCTCGGTCATCGCCCCGGCCACCGCGCTGGCCGGCCCGGCCATGCTGCTCTCGGTCGTGCTGGCCGCGGTCCCCATGTTCGTCATTGCGGTCACCTACGCCTTCATGGGATCGGCATTGCCCGCGTCGGGCGCGTCCTATGAATGGCCGCGGCGCTTCGTGTCCGAAAAGCTCGCCTTCATCATCGTCTGGCTGCGGATCGCGGGGAATGTGGGCGCCATGTTCATCCTGGCGCTGGTGCTTGTCAGATACCTGTCCTTCCTCGTGCCGCTGCCGACCAAACTCACCATGGCGGGCCTGTTCGTGCTGGTGTTCGGGCTCAACATTCTGGGCGTCTCGATCGCAGCGACGGTGCAGACCGCGCTGATGGTGGTGCTGGTGGGGTTCTTCGCCATCTTTGTCGGGTTCGGCGGCACAGGCGTTCAGCCTGACGCCTTCAGCCCCTTCCTGGGCGGCGGATGGAGCGGTGTGTTCGCCGCCATCCCGTTGCTGGTGGGGCTGTTCTTCGGTATCGAAGCGGCGACGGAAGTCGGCGGCGAGGTGCGAAACAGCCGCCGCAACATTCCGCTCGGCATCGCGCTGGCGATCAGTACGGCCGTGGTGGTCTACCTCCTGGTCGGTGGAGTGACGCTGGGTCTTCTGGGCGTTGAACGCCTCGCGGCAAGCGAAACGCCTATCCTCGACGCCATGGCCGAACTGGTCGGCCGCGATCTCGCTCAACTCATTGTCGCACTGGCGGCGGTCGCGGCGATCGGCACGTCTCTGAACGCGCTTGCCATGGGCTTCAGCCGTTCGCTCTACGCCATGGGGCAGAGCGGGGCGCTGCCGTCGGCGTTGGGGCGTGTGCATCCGCGTTTCGGCACGCCCTATGTGGCGCTGGCGACCATGTTCGTCGCCTGCATTCTGGGCCTGTTCATGCCGACCAGCCTCGCGCCGCTCTTTCTGGCGGTGAATATCCCGACCTTGCTGAAATTCTGCACCACCTGCCTGTCATCCATCGTGGTCGTCCGCACCCGACCGGAGCTCTATGAAAGCGCCGGTTTCAAGCTGGGCAAGGCCGCCACCCAGATCTGGGCGGTGCTGGGCATGGTGATGGCGCTGCTCGTCACCGCACTGGGCGTCTCCACCGACTGGCGGCCCTATCTGGCGCTGAGCCTGTGGCGGGTGGTGGGCGTCGGCGTCTATCTGATGCGCCCGCTCTGGACCAAGGAGACCTCTCATGACGCTGTTTAAGCGATCCATTCTCGCAAGCGCTGCGCTCACTCTCGCACTCTCGCTTGAAACAGCCTGCGCGCAACAGATTGAGCTCGGCCAGACGGCGCAAACCACGCATGAAGGCGTCTTCCACGGTGAAGCTGTCGCCTATGACGCGCTCGTGGAGACCTATCTGCTGTCCGGACCGGATGGTGAAACGGCGGGCCGGCTTGTGACCACCAGCTATGTGGCGCAGGGCGCAGGCGATCCGGCGGAGCGCCCGGTGCTGTTTCTGTTCAATGGCGGGCCCGGCGCCTCCACCACGCCGCTTCATCTGAGCGCTTTCGGGCCCATGCGCCGGTTCGGCGACGGCGAAACCGCCTATATGCAGCCCAACCCGGACAGCCTTCTGGATACAGCCGATCTCGTCTTCATCGATCCGGTGGGGACGGGCTTCTCCATCCCTGAAGCCGAGGAGGACGGCGCACAGTTCTGGAGCCGGGAAGGGGATGCGCTGTCGGTGGCGGCGGTGATCGAGCGCTGGCTGGACCGCCATGGCCGTACGACCTCGCCTCGCTATGTGCTGGGACAGTCCTATGGCACGTTGCGCGCCGCGGAGATCGCCCGACTGGCCCCTGAACTGGAACTGGACGGAATTCTCCTCTTCGCGCTTGTCCCTGACAGGGCGGAGGGCGACGTCTCCTACGCGCTCAGCTTTCCGAGCATGAGTGCGGCGGCCTGGTATCATGACCGGATCGACCGGGAGTGGCGCAGCGGCTCTGATGTCTTTGAAGAGGCGGTCGCCTACGCCCGGACCCGCTATCTGCCTGCGCTGGCTCAAGGTGACGCGCTCAGCACAGCGGACGAGGACGAGATCGCAGAGGCGCTGTCCAGCTTTGTCGGTCTGACCGCGGACTACATCCTCGAAAAGGATCTCCGGCTGAGCAATGAGGACTTCATGTTCGAATTGCTGGCCGATGAGCGCCTGCGCACGGGGCAGCTGGATGCGCGCGCCACGCGGCGCCTCGATGCGCCCGCCCAGCGTCCGCCCTATGACGATCCGGGCCTGAGTTATCACCCCGGTGAGCCTTCAGAGCCCGAAGGCGAGCCCGCCTTCAGCTTTGACGCAGCGGCCTATCCCTCGATCGTCGAGGCCTATTACGACGAAGTGTTGGGATTTGATCCGGAGCGGCCCTATCGCGCGCTCAATCTCGAGGTGAATGCGGCGTGGGATCATCAGGGCTGGCGGCCGGCCATTCCCTATATCGCGACGGCGATGGACAATGATCCCCGGTTGCGGGTGTTCTGGGCAGCCGGAATCTATGACCTCTCCACCCCGGCCTTCGGTGGGCGCTACGCGCTTGAGCAGGCCGGCATACCCGCAGACAGGCTGACCGCCGCCTACTTCCCGGCCGGTCATTCCGTCTTTGTCGGTGAAGAGAACCGCGCGCTTCTGGGCGAGGCGGTGCGCGCCTTCCTGACCGCGGAGGACTGAGGCGGCAGCCTGCGCGGCCCTAGAAAGGTTGTGCAGGCACGCCCAGTTCTTGCGCTTTCATTTCGAGATAGCGGCCACACACCAGGTCCTGGACGATATGGCCGAGCGATTTGTAGGCGGTGATCGTATCGCTGTCAGGACGGCCGCAGAGCTGGCCGTCATAGACCTCGCCGATTTCCCCAACCACATGGGCGTCACTGATGCGCCCGGACGCCCTGGCGTTCAGGAATTCCGCCCCCTGCGCCAGCACGCCCTCGCGGTGGTCGGCGACGAAGTAGCTTTACGCCACCAGATCCTCATCGACCTCGACGGGGCCGGCATAGCTTGAGCCGACAATGTTGATATGGGCGCCGGGCGACACCCAGGCGCCCTTCACCACCGGGGTTTGAGAGGCGGTGACCGTGCAGATGATATCAGCCTGTTCGACCGAGGCGCGGATGTCGTCGCTGGCCTTGAGG